ATTTTTTTTCTTGTCTTCCAAGATCCGATTTCCCCATCTCCCACTTGCCATCCAGCAGATGCCATCTGTCATCTAAGCTGGTCATTGCTAATAAACAAGGAGACTGTCTCCTGACAGCCATCACTGTGTATAATCACTCAGGAACCAGCGGATCTGCAAAGACCTACAATCAAAAGCAAATCCCCATTTTCTTTTTATAAAACATTCTACCCTCAACTCCAATATAACATATTAAAAGAGTATAAAAATGTTTAAAATCATGTACTAATAAATTCATTGTATGTTAGAATTGCAATAGAACTGAGAGAGAAACATTTAGCTAGTAATGTATCTGGAAATTGAATGTCTTATGTGAGTATTAGATTTTAATAGCATGCTTTAAAGACTGATGAATATAAAAGCGCAAGTTTTGAGTTTCTTACTTCTTTAAAGCTGTATCCTAGTTTAGTGATACAAATGATAGCAACTTTTCTAAAATCATTAAATTATTTGGTTTGGTGGAGTGAGGCATGGAACAATCTGGCGTCTTCTGACTTGTAAAGTAGTGATGGCAGTGAAGTTGTAACTGAAATGTAAGCTGATCTTCCTTTTTTGGTATGTTACCTGTTGTGCCAGCTCTTTGAGATTACTTGCAGAATGTGGCTATAAGTTTTAGTATTTTGTGGAGCAGAGGGATATTTTTTAAATGTGCTTATGGAAAGGACCCAGTAAATGAGTAAACTTAGTAACTAGAACGATTTTATGGTATTCACTAATCAGGAGAAAAGTCTTCCCCCTGCCCCAGAAGTCATTCTATAATTACCAAGATACACTAGGAGTAGGATTATGATTCAAAGAAGTATCCCAAATTCATAAAGCAATAATAATAAAAATTATTTCTTTCCCTTCCAGAGTTTTTAACGCTTTAAAAATGAATTCCTAGGCTTAATTGTACTTTTAATTTGCTAATTTAGTACTTAGAATTTGTTTCACTGGTACTTTATTATTTTGAATTTAAAGACTTTTGAAAGGTACCCTTTCCCCTTAGAGATAGTTGGAATAACAGTAGACTAATATTAAAAGCTCTTGTAGGGGGAAAATGGGGCTTATCATATAAAATTATTTACTAAACCTTAGGAAAAGGTGTCTTGCATCAGTCTTAATAGGCATAAAGTTCATGCTTAATGACTGGAGAAACTTTTGCTTATTGCCTTTCCCTCTATAATTATTGTCTAGAATGAAAGCTAATTTAGGAACAAGATACCAAAATTCAAAAAACCCCTTAGTGCATGTATTCTTTATTATTATTAGTTCATTATTAGATCATTTATTTTCATCTATATTTGCCATTAAAAATTTATTTGCATTTATATCTTTAGAATAATTGAGTTTGTGTCTGATAAATCTGTTTTATCATTGCTACAAGTTTTTTAAAAAAAAACTTTCACTAGTACATGCCAGAGGTTCATATTTCTGCTAAGTATTATTTTTTAAAAAACAGGTTGTAGCTGTATTTATTGGTCATGCAGTAAGTAGAGGAAACGTACAAGACAGATGTTTTTCTTTAGCACATAAGGGACCTATCCTCATCCTGAAAGTTTGTTGCTTTAAAAGCAAGTATCTCTCCATAAATATTATGGCCTTCCATTTTCTTCATACATCTTTTAGGATTCACTTGTGCATGTAGTTGAGGCCACTGTCTCTTAATATAGCACTTTTCAATTCTCTCTAAAGAAATACTTAATGTACTACTTCTATCACATGTTGTAAATTTTCATGTAATAGTGTTTTCTGTGACTAAACTCCATTTTGATTGGCAGCTAAGACTTTTTTTTCTGTGGCTTTAATTTATCTAAGAGGTCTTTGCATATAGATGAAATGTATAATTTGCCTGGCGGACTATTTGCGTTTTGTGGCCTTAGTTTGTTTATTGACATTAATGAGTGTTTTAAAAAGGTTTTTAATGAATAGTCTTAAATCTAAATTTGTGTGAATAATAATCCTTTTAACACAGTGCTTTTTTGTAGCTGTCTAAGTGTGTTAAATTGTTAAGCTATTTCTTTGTAAAATAGGACAATGGAATGCATAGAGTTTTTTTTTTCCTGTAAAGTATTTTTTTAATAAACAAAGTCTGATTTGTCCTTTACTGATGTTTCATGACAAAATGAATAGCACATGTGAATTCTAGCTACCTGGAACCTGTTTTTAAAGTATTTGTCCCTTCTCTGTCCCCTGTTATTTTTTACTATTAGAGATTACAAAATTAGAAAATCTTGACTTTCCTAAAGAAAGTTCATAGATACTGGGGGAAAATTTCATCCATATTGAGAGGCAGTTTGAGGGAAGAAGAAAAACTATGCTTGGCATTTGTGGCAGTTAACTCCTCGCTGCATAAATTGATTTATCCCTATGAGAATAATCTTAAATTTTTGTTCTGGGGATGTCGATATTTTTGAAAGTACATGCATACAGTGTTAGTTAATGAAGGTGGTTTATAGATGTTTCAGATACCATTGATGTATTAAGTGACATAACTCACTGGAGTTTTTCCTCATCAGTTTTTATTTGTGTGAACTTCTCTTTAATTGAGGTACCTGTCCTAAGCACTGATACCTCTTGTTTATGATTAGGAAAGGAAGAGGGAAGGAACGAATGTTTTTTGAGTAACTGTTGAGGGCCAGGTACTTTTTATGAAGGTAGCTCATTTAATCCTCACAGCCTTGAGTAGGAAGGTAACAATACAATCTCCATAATACAGGTGAGAAAACAGGCTTGTTAGGTTGAATAAATTACCCGAAATCACATAGCTTTTAGTGGGAGCAGGGATTTGAATGCAGTTCTGGGTTCAAAGCCCACACTTTGCTCAGTGAGAGCCTTACCTGATTTCAGTTCTTCCAGGAACTCCCAAGGCCTCTTTGTGTGCTAAGCAATGAAGTAAAATGTTTAATTAGTGTTATTTATGTCTTAAAGCAAATATTTAGATATACAAAAAATGACTTTCATTTTTCCAGTGTTTTTGTTTTGTGTGTGTGTGTGTGTGTGTGTGTTTTTTAAAGTCAGCCATTTGTGTTGAAACCAAACAGAATTGTCACGTTCAGCTCTAAGGATGGGAAAAGCTGTCAAGAAGCAAAAGCAGAAAGGAAACCACTGCCAATGTGTGGAATATAAAAATCAAGCCTGGGTGAAATAATTTTAAATTAGTTCTATGGGAGTTACTTTTATCTTAGTCGATTTTCCTCATCGGTAAAACGGGGATAATAACTTCCACCTTATGTCGATTTGATAGATAATCAAAAATAATGATGTAAAACATTTAGAACTGCATTTAGGCTTTCTGCAGTGGTCTAATCGTTATCTCATTGGCTTTAACTGACCCAAATGCTACAATGCTGGGCAAGCAAGGTCAATGCTTCAAGTGAGGTGAGAATGGCCGTTAGGCGTCAGTGTTCCATTAATGGCCAAAAAAGTATAGAGGAGGAAAGAGGCTTAAAACCTTCTTAATGTATCTTTAAATATTCATTTGAGGTCGCTACCGTTCCTTTCTCCTGACCTCTATCAGCCTGCTTGAATTTTTAACCTAGAAACAGTTCTTCCCGCCGCTACCTTCCTCTACCCTAATTTGGGAAAGTGTCCTGGAACCTGCCCCCCAAGCCTTGGCCCTCTTCTTCCTTTACCCTTGAGCACCCAGAAGGCTTAAGTCCCAGAGCTGCTGAGGGACGGGAGAGGAAAGGAATTAATGAGGCGCAGCCTGCCAGGACTTTCGTCCCAGGACGGCATAAATTCATGAAAACATTCGTTCATTAAGCAAAGGTTGAGAACCTGTGTGCCAGGCTCCTGCCAGGCCCTAGTCTCTGACCTCATGGAGCCCCCAGCCCATTGAGGAAGACCGATAGGATATAATGAAGCACAAAGAAACAGAAAACACAAGGAAAACATAAGCGTTGCAAAGAAATGAACGGGGAACTATTGGAATATCTGGACCGACCTCCTTTAGATGAAGGGCTGGGAAAGTCATTTGTGAGAAAGTGACCTGAAAGGTGATCTGGGGGAGCTGCTTTTGGCCTTGATCTCCGTGTAGCTCCCCAGCCCCTCGTTCCCGAAGCCTGGCGGAGACTCGGCGGGAAGGCCCCGGGCCCGGGGCGGAGCCAACTTCACAGCGAAACACGGAAAGCGGAAGCCGCGGCCTCGCTGCACCGTGGTCTGCGGAGCTGCTGTTGCCTACCTCTCGGCCGGCTGAGTCACGGCCCTTCCAGGCCCGGCCTAGCGAGGACGCGCGCCCGCCGCCCCGAAGCAGCTGCTACCCGGGCCTTGGGACCTCTGCACTTGACTTTTTCCAGCGGAACAAAGCCATTTGCCGTTGCCGTAGCGACTGGCAGCCTAGCTAAGACCGCCTTCACTTTCTATCCCCCTCCTTTCCTAGCTCGTTCTTTGCTTATTTTAGGGTCTGTCCGATGACCCTATAGGTCGGGCTTGGAGGGCGCCGGCTCTCTGGCAACAGACTGCCCTCCTCTGAGCGCTGGGCGGCCGGCTGCCTCCGAGGCTGGGGCGGCCTCCGCAGTCTCCATGGTAACGGCCCAGACGGCGTCTCCGCCTCGGGGGGAAGATGAGGCCTGCCTGGCCCGCCGCCTCGCCCCCGGCCTCCTGGCCGGGCCGGGGCCACTGAGGAGGAAGGTCCCGGCCACCGGACTGCGGGGCAGCGTGCACCAGGTGAGAGCAGGACTCCTGGGAGCGGAGGAGGTGGGGTGCAGGTCAACTCCAGCGACCTCCCCTTCTCTCCCAGTTCCCTGCATCCCTGAACACACTCGCACAAAATATCGCAGAGAGGCTTCTCCGGTCGCCACTGCGCCAGAGTTTTTTTTTGGTATGCTTTTGTTTTTTTTCCTGGCAAACAGCAGGGGAACGAGACGGTCAGCAGCGCATGGAGAGGCTGAGAGAAGCGTTTTCTGAGTTCTACCCAAACTGGGAGAGTACCTTTCAGCAACTGGACTCACTGACTGGTTTTCCTTCATTTTCAGTGAAATCCCATTCTCTGGCTGGAGACACAGATGGCCTCAAATGAGAGAGATGCTATATCGTGGTACCAAAAGAAGGTAATATCGATGTATTTTTATTTGTAAAGCATGCTTCCCGCAAAAAGGTCCCACAAAGAATACCTATCATGTTAGTTTTCCCTGAGCTTGGTAGTGCAGGTATTCTTACATGATATTTCTCAACATAAATGGAAAAACTGATGGACAAGGTCATTAGGTCTTTTGAACTCAGTTCCAGGTCCCCGAATAAGATTTTCAACCTCCCATCTCCAGGCTGCATTCACAGTGTCACAGCAATGCTTTGAGAGTTTGCTTCTAATCAAACTGCTGTTTTTTCAGGCATAAAACTTATCTGCACAGCTCAGATTGGTACTGTCAATTTTAATGAGCTATCCATTACCTTTTATTTCTTTAGTTTCCTACTGATGTTTTTCTTAAGTGGAAGTATCTTTTAAGGTGATATTTAATTTGAAATATTTTGGACATTGCTTTTCAACTTACTTTTAGATCCAGCTAACTTGAATTTTGAAGGAAATAGTCCTAGGAAATAATAATTTATTCTAGCCTCAGAGAAGCACAGAAATTCCCCAGGTATCATATGGATACTTAATAGTTTCATGACTTTTGTGAGACTTGACCCAAATAAAAGGATTTCCTTTGCATCACTTAAATAGCCTGCTTCCTATTTCAGATTGGAGCATATGATCAGCAGATATGGGAAAAGTCAATCGAACAGACTCAGATTAAGGTAAATTGATTTCTTTGATTTTTTCGCTTTGTTTTACTGCTTTAATATGAAGAGTGAATTGTATTTACTTTTTAAAAATTCTGCACTTATCCACCAAATATGGCGTTCTTTGTTCTTTGAGGTGAATAAGGAAAACAACACTGCAAATGGGATGATAAATAACAATTGACATTTGGCCTCCGTATCAGGGAAATAGAAAAGGGTGGTTGGTCTATGGTGAATTTGAAAGCAAATGTCCCATATAAATGGGGCTATGGCTAACTCTGGCGGTAGAGTTAGTTGTGGTAACGCAGGCCCAGTATTGCCACAGCTTCAGGGTTCTCAAGAGAAGCTGTGAATATGCATTTTTATGTGAAATATCCAGGTTTTTTAGAGCATCTCCTCCTCCTCCTTCCCCCCTCTACTTCCGATTCTCCCCCTCCCTCTCCTCCCCCCCTCCTCCCCTACCTCCTCTTCCTCTTTTTCTTTCCTGCAAGTCAAATAAAATCCATTTGTTGCCTGAATCTCTTTTTCAATTACTGGTTTAGAGTATGGGACTAAGTATTTCAGGTTCTTAAACTTTTTTCTACACTGCTTTTGGAACTGAGCAGATTCTTGGAGTTATTGCATGCTAGCCAGGCAACCAAAAATTGATGTGTAATTCAGAATGCCAGGTTATTAATTTATAATAGGGGAGGGGAGGGTTAAATAATCTAATGTTCCAAAATCAAGGTTGTGGGATCAACATGTTTGGGGGGGGATGCAAATTAGTCATAGAAAGGTTGCTTGGTAGCCAAATGTAATTGCCTAGTCTTGAGAGATGCGGAAAATCCTAAAGAGCATCCTGCCCTTACAGAATGTCTCTCTATTGACATTAATACTTAGATCTACAGATTCCAGGGTCTTACCTCCTTGGAAAGTACTGAATAATGGCTGGCAGATTTTTGATTTTGGACCTTTCTTTTTTAAAGATTTTTCCATAGACCCTCTATTAACATTAAAAAAAATGTATGTATGGGTGTAATACAACTTAGTAGTTCTATTTATCTCCAAGTCAGATTGATTGGACTGGGATGTTTAAATCTCGGGTGAAATACTTTTAGGGCAAATTCTTTTTGTAAGCCACTCAATTAGAAAGTTGTTTGAACTGCATGGTACTTGGCTAGCTTTTCATAATTTTGTACAGTCCTTGATGTTTTATATTAATAGGAGATGGGATTAGGATGAATAAATCCCCCAATTTTATTTTGTAACTCTCTAAGTCCTGTCCTGTTATTCTTTTGTGAGCTCTGAAAAGTATGGGTAGTAGTAAGTCTGGTATAATGGAAAGAGCACAGAACTGGGCGTTGGATCTCCTTTTGTGACCTCTGTCTAGCCTTGTGATCTTGAACAAGCACTGTAGTTTGTCTGGGTTTTGGTTTATTTATCCTTAAAAGGATTTTACTTCCTGCTATAGAATTTCATTACCTACCTCCTTCCCGTACCCAATTTAAATATTTCCTCAACTCTTATTTCCATGCCATTTTATACATACCTTCCTTTTGGTACACCATCTCCTGTGGTACTTGTTAACCTGTGTGTTTTCATGGACCTCAAGGGCAGGCATTGCATTTGTATCCCACTCTTAGAACATTCTGAGTCATACTAGGAACTCAGTATTTCTGTATTTGATTAAACTCCAACTATTATGTATATTTTTATTCATTGTTTTCTCAAAAGGTAATGTATCTAATACCTCCTTAATGTATACTTTTTAATTTAGCAGTGGAAAGAATAAAATTAAAGAGAACTCTAAAAATTTACTGAGTTAATATACCAAGGCCTCCCAGGTGCAAAGAATACAGTCAACAAGACACACATGGTTCTTGCCTTCATGAATTTTACAGTCTAATGGTAGTGGGAGAAAAGCCAAGTTATCTTTTTAAGTATGTTTAAGTCTTAGATGGAAGCTGACCAAAGTATAGGACACGAAGAAGTATTTAATGCAATTTAAAACAGATTACACAAATATACATGTTTTTGAAAACAAATTTAAAAAGAAAAGGAAAGAAAATTAATAAAACAAAAGGAATAACAATATTAACATCAGATCACAATACAATAAAATTAGAAATTACATAATAAAAATATAATTCAAAATTATAAAAAATATAAATTAAATCTTAACTTGGATCATGAAAAGTGGTAGGAACTGTTCTACAAACATTTACTGAGCTACTATGTTTAAGGCATTTTGCTTGGTGCTGAGCACAGAAGTACAACGCTTGTATAAGGGAAGATAAGTAGCCCAATCCGGTTGGGGTATAAGGTAAGCAGATGAGATGATAGGTCATAAATCAGTTTAGAGCTGAGCTGACTGCTTTACTAAGAACTTTAGATACTGTACTATATAAAATGAAAAAATTTGTATTGTTTTTAAGTAGAGGGGACACATCATATCTGTATTTTTGAAGGATAGAAATAAAAACGTAGATATAACAAAATTTGTAGAATGCTTCCAAAATAATACTTGATGAAATTATATCACTCTAAATGTCTATATTAACAAAAAATGTCTAGATTGACTAGGAAGAAAGAGTTACAATGATTCAAGTTAACATACGAAGAATCTGAGAAATAAAACAATAATAAGTCAAAGTAAAGGGGAAGAAATATCAAAAATAAAACTAAAACAGAGACTTCCCTGGTGGCGCAGTGGTTAATAATCTGCCTGCCCCTGTGGGGGACACGGGTTCGATCCCTGGTCGGAGAAGATCCCACATGCCCTGGAACAATGAAGCCCATGCGCCACAACTACTGAGCCTGCACTCTAGAGCCTGTGCGCCACAACTACTGAGCCCACGCACCACAACTACTGAAGCCTGTATGCTCTAGGGCCTGTGCTCCACAACAAGAGAAGCCACCGCAATGAGAAACCTGCACACTGCAAGGAAGAGTAGCCCCTGCTCACTGCGACTAGAGAAAGCCCGCGCACAGCAACGAAGACCAAGCACAGCCAAAAAAACCCCAAAAAACAAAAAAACCTAAAACAGTGTTCATGTATTCTTCATTTAACAAATATTTGTTGAGCACTTACCTACCATGTGTCAGGCAGTAGGATGGGCACTATATCTATATAATGATGAGCAGAAACACTCAACATTTTTTGGAGCTTATGGTAAAGTGGGAGACAAACAATAATAAAATTAATCCTACTAATGAATAAAAATTACTTTGTGATAAATGCTAAGAAGGAGAGCTACTATTTGCAAGCTATTATAACAGGGAAATGGACCTAGTCAAGGAGGTCAGAGAAGCCTTCCCTGAAGAATTGATGCTTCAAGTGAGATCTGAAGGATGAATAGCAGTTAATTAGGTCAAGAACAAATATACTTATCTGACAAAAACTCTTTCAGAAAGCAGAGGAGGAAGTATCCTTCCCAGCTCATTTTTTGAGACTAGTATTACCCTGATTCCAAAGCCAGACAAAGACAGCACAAGTAAATTTGTCATAACTGTACTACAAAGCTACAGTAATCCAAACAGTATGGTATTCACACAAAAACAGACACATAGATCAGTGGAACAGAATAGACCACCCAGAAATGGGCAGTGTATTATATGGGCAATTAATCTACAACAAAGGAGGCGAGAATATACAGTAGGGAAAGGGCAGCCTCTTCAGAAATGCTGTTGGAAAAGCTGGAAAACTACATGCAAAAAAATCAAACTGGACTACTCTCTCACATGATGCACAAAAATAAATTCAAAATAGATTAAAAATTTTAAATGTAAGACCTGAAGCTGTAAAACTTCTAGAAGAAAACATAGGTTGTGCACTCTTTGACATCGGTCATAGTAATATTTTTGGATATGTCTCTTCAGTCAAGGGAAACAAAAACAAAAATAAACAAATAGGACTATGTCAAACTAAAAGACTTTTGCACAGTGAAGGAAACTATCAATAAAATGAAAAGACTACCTACTGAATGGGAGAAGGTATTTGCAAATGGAATATCCAATAAGGGGTTAATATTCAAAATATACAAAAAAATTCATACAACTCAACATCAAAAAAGCCAAACAACCCAATTAAAAAATGGGCAGAGGACCTGAATAGACATTTTTCCAAAGAAGACATACAGATGGCCAGTGGGCACATGAAAAGATGCTCAACATACTAATCATCAGGGAAATACAAATCCAAACCACAATGAAATATCACCTCACACCTGGCAGAACAAATTACAAGCATTGGTGAGAATGTGGAGAAAAGGGAACCCTTTTGCACGATTGGTGGGAATGTAAATTGGTGCCGCCATTATGGAAAACAGTATGAAGATTCCTCAAAAAATTAAAAATAGAACTACCATATGACCCAGCAATTCTACTGCTGGGTATTTATCTGAAGAAAACAAAAACACTAATTAGAAAAGATATATGCACCCCTATGTTCATTGCAGCATTATTTACAATAGGCAAGATATGGAAGCAACCTAAGTGCCCATCAACAGATGAATGGATAAAGAGGATGTGGTATCTATATACAATGGAATATTACTCAGCCATAAAAGCATGAAATCTTGTTGTTTGCAGCAACATGGATGGCCTTAGAGGATATTATTCTAAGTGAAATAAGTCAGACAGAGAAAGACAAATACTGTATGATTTCACTTATATGTGGAATCTAAAAAAATAGATGAACAAACATAACAAAACAGAAAGAGTTACAGATAGAACAAACAGGTGGTTGCCAGAGAGGAGTGGTGAGGGGAAGAAATAGGTGAGGGAGATTAAGAGGTACAAACTTCCAGTTGCAGAATAAATGAGTCACCAGTGTGAAATGTACAGTGTGGGGAGTATGGTCAGTAATTATGTAATATCTTTGCATGGACAGATTATATCTAGACTTATATTAGTGGTCATTTTGAAATGTATAGAAATATGGAATCACTATGTTGTATAACAGGAACTAACAGACTATTTTAGATCAATTGAATTTCAAAAACAAACTCATAGAAAAAGAGATCAGATTTATGGTT